GAATTCCATAGTAATTTTTAAAACAATGTTTAATATCTTAATTTTTTTAAAAAAAAACTCAATTTCTCAGAAATGGAGTTTTTTTTAAAAAAAGATAAGATATTGAACATTGTTTCGAAATATATCAAAACATTTCGGATGAATTTAAGGGCATATTTGGTTGGTAACTAATATTGCCACACATTGGTGGCTAAGCTTAGGGGTCTCTTTGGTTGACAATCAAATTTGCCACATCTAACCTTAAGTAAGCCTTAGTTTTAGTAGACAATGTTTGATTTATGTCACAATTCTACTTTGCTTAACTCTTAGCCACCTAACCCGCATGTCATACACTCTTTTTTTTTCCTAACTTTTTCTATGCTTAACTTGTCATTTTGTTTGCCACAAGAGCGTGGCAAAACTAAACTTAGCCACCTTAGTAAAAAATATGTGGCCACATTAGTCCCTAACCAAATAGGCCCCTAGTCCTGCCACACTTTTGTGACAAACTAAGGGGTTGTTTAGTTTATGATCATAAGTTGCCACACTTTACCATAACTTTGATTAAGCAAGTTTGATCATGTTACGAGAGCCTCATCGGTTGATCTAATAAACCAAAGTAAAAGTCAAAATTTAAATTTGTGAGCTTGATTGTGGGTTGATTTTAAGATATTTTTAACGTAATTTCTTTCAAGGCTTTTAAATCACTACATACAAATATATACAAATTTTACCTATAAATTAATTTTTATTCCTTAGTAAGTCGTTTTGGCTTATTAGGGAATATGGTAACCGATGAGGCTCCGAGTGTTTGGTTGGCTCCCACAAGTGTGGCAAGATTTCTCTTTTGTTATGTAGGTCTCACATGTTAGTGACTCTGAAAATAGTGTGGCATGGTTTTATTTTGTTGGCTAGAGTGTGGCTTTGATTTTGATGGTCTCACCTTTGGCAAGTTTGGCAATGAAAGTAGTGGAAACCTAGACAATCATAGTACGTGAACAAAACATCCCAAAATAACAATCTAAGGTTATGCAAAGTTAGACAATAAAATAGAGTATGACATGTGAACCAACTGGTTAAGAGTTAGATAAGATAAAGTTACGAAAAAAACTAAACATTGTCTATTAAGGTCCTGTTTAAATCACACCCCAAAATTTTTTATCATGCGCGCCACATCGAACGTTGGAACACCTGTATGAAGTGTTAAATATAGGCTAAAAAAACTAATTGCACATATTGCGACTAATTTGCGAGTTGCTACATGATTTCACAATGTGGTGCTACAGTAAACATTTGCTAATGACAGATTAATTAAGCTTAATAAATTCATCTCACGGTTTACTGACGGATTCTGTAATTAGTTTTTTGTTAGTGTCCGAACACCCTATGCGATAGTCTATATAATACATGATGTGACACACCAAAACTTTATGCCCCTGATCTAAACACCCCTAAAACTGAGTTAAGTTTTGTAAATTTAGTTGTCAACTAATCATGCCCTGAGTTCTCGGTAATTCGTCAGGGGTAACTAGTAGGGAGCTGAGTAGTGTACTATGCTGATACAATAATTATAAACAAACACTCAGCCTGTCAGCCCGTAATGTTACTGGTCTACAAGGACATCACCATTAAGGTAATTAATAAATTAAAGCCAATTTGTACCAGATCAAGTCACTTTCGTTTCCCAAATTCCAGTACACAAGTAGGCTTCCATTAAGGAAAACTCTAGTGCAAATGTGGGTACTACAACCTTTCATGATGTTTGCAGAGGCTCATTCAATATCCATTACCAACAGTAGTCACAAAAAATTCATTACCACTGTCAATGGATGGTCAAGGACTAGAACACCATATTATTGCTAACACGCAATCATCCACAAATTAAACATGTTTAAACATGCTCTCTCTCTACAGTGAGAGAAAGGCACTTTATGATCAGGTGTATTATCTGTAATCTCCACCACAACCTCCACTCCACAATACCACCTGCTAAGATAGCAAAACTGAAAAGAAAAAAAAAGGCACCTTTCCATGCTCAACATCTACCAGACCATCACCATCATCAGTATATATACTATCCAAATACCTGCAAGGATTTTACATAAATAACAAACCAGCGGTAGAGAACCTTGAGCACTGTCATATTTAATGGCAATCCATTTTCCTTTTTACTATTAACATGCTCATGCTTTGCAATACACCATGCCTATATATGATTAGAGATTAGCTGAGTGGATGTGTTTTCCAATGGGCCGGACCAGCCACATATGATCGGGGATTGGTTGGGTGGGTGGATTAAGGATAAATCACGATGGTTACGTAGATGCGAAGGAGAAGACAATGTGTGGAGGGGGCGGAAGGAGGACGATTCTGCTTCTAAGGTAGTATAAAGATAACAGCTAAAAACTTATTTTTATTAAAACACAATTTATTGTGTTTCCTTTTTTCATCGAGAAAATTATTCGTCCTTAATTTTGCCACTACATTTTGCTATTCCATTCATTTGTCTATCTTCTCCTTCGTTAGAATAGCATAAAATTAAAAACACATCCAGACCTAGACGTCGGACCCGAAAAGAAACAAAAAGTTATATACGGAAATAGCATAAAACCGACACAACCATTTCATTTTGCTATGCCATTCATTTGTCTATCTTCTCCTTCATTAGAATAGTGTAAAATTTAAAACACCTCCTTACCTAGACGTTGGACCCCGGGAAAACCAAAAAGCTATATATGGAAATACCATAAAATTATTCCCAAAACTTTCCTCAGCATCATAATTGAGGAATTTATCCAATTTGCCCTACATTGAATTCTATATTACTTTGCATATATAACCATGGATGTGTTTACATCCTATATTGCCGAGGTTGCTTGGGTTGCCTCATCTTGTGCGTCATGGGTCAATGGCTATTGCCACGCTGGTGCAGCCCTTTGTTAGCTTGAGGATATGGATGTTTCCCAAGAAGATATGCATCTTGCATAAGGATGGCTTACATGTTTCTGCAACTATCCATTATCAAAGCCATAAGTGGTGGTTGTGTAGATGTGCATCTTGCATGGGCATGGTTTACATGTTTGTGCGGCTCTTCTTTAGCTAGAAGCCGTAAGCGTTACATACAGATATATGTGTGGCAATTGGGCATGCTAATATCTGTATGGCCCCTCGTATACCCAAGTCTATATCTGACGCTGATAGAGATATGTGTGGTGTGTGAATGGACGCATGATTCACAAGATATAGCGTGTTGAAGAACAATGTAGATTAACTTTATAGATGATGAGAGAGATACGACTTTTAAGGTTGGAAGATAGTTTGTTTTCTTGATTTTAAGGACAAGATGCACTGAAATTTTACAAATTAATGACAAAATTGAGATAGTCACTTACAAACCATGATGTAAATTATAATAAGTTGTAAAAAAATATAGACCTGTACATTTTAATGGCACACACAATAGTTAACACATGTCCAAATTAGGATGAAAAGAACACCAAAAAGTAACTTTCCTCACTATTTCTAAAAAACAAAAATATTACTACAAGTTTAAAAAAACCCCTTTTTTTTGCCAAGAACAAAGTGAACACATTTCCCATCAATCCAACAACCACCACAAAATACAAAAAACACATCCTATTAGTACCTTCACCACATATGTTTTTATAAAGAGAAACTACAAAGAAACCAAATCCCCCTCTATTCGGCCGTCCAAGCATCTATTTCCCCCTTTTTCTAAAAGAAAAAGAAATCCAAATACCAAAACCAAAAATCTTCTCTCTCTCCTTCCTCCCTTGTGTTTCTCTCTCTTCCTAAGCGTCCAGTAGTAGGTTTTGATATAAAGAAAAACCACAAAGAATCCTTTTTATCAAAAAGGAAAGAAAACCAAAATATCCCCTTTTCTAAAAGAAAAATGAACCCAAATATCCCTTCTCTCTCCTCCCTCACTTGTGTTTTCTCTCTTACCTCTTTTATCTAGGATTAGTTTTTTTATCGAGAGTATATGTTTTTATAAAGAAAAAACCAAAACCATAAAGAACCCTTTTATCAAAAAGGAAAAAACTCCAAATCTCCCCCTTTTCTAAAATTAAACATAAGTCCAAATACTAAAACCCCAAACATCATATCTCTCTCTTACCAATATTCTCTCCGTTTCATAAAAACAATTGTAGAACAAATATAGACAAACTACTTATCTAGATTCATAGTATTAAAATATATCACATCATGTCTCCCAAAGGATTACTTCTTTAGGATTAATTCTTTTAACCAAAACATATAAAGAAAAAAAATCAAAACCATAAAGAACCCATTTATAAAATGAAAAAACCCCCAAAAATCTCCCCCCTCTCTATCTATATCTCTGTCTCCTCCCTCACTTGTGTTTTCTCTCTCTTACTAGTATTTCCTTATGATTATTCTTTTTACTGAGAGGATATGTTTTTATAATTAATGAAAAACCAAAACAATAAAGAACCCTTTTATCAAAAAGGAAACCCCCCAAAAAAAATCTCCCCCTTTTCTAAAAGAAAAAAAAGAAACCCAAAAAAACCCCTCTCTCTATCTCTCTATCACTTGTGTTTTATCTCTCTTACCAGTACCTGCTCCGTTCCATAAAAAAATCTCGAATGAATTTGGACAAACCAGTACCTGCTCCGTTCCATAAAAAAATCTCGAATGAATTTGGACAAACCCACTAGTCCAGATTCGTAGTATAGGATGTGCCATATATTTGTTTTTTATATGATAGAGGGAGTACTTATTTAGGATTAGTTTTTTCTTTACCTTAACATATAAAGAAAAACCAAAACCATAAAGAACCATTTTATCAAAAAGGATAAAAAAACCCCAAAAATCTTCCCCATTTTGAAAAACAAAAAAGGAATAAAAAAAGCTGAAACCCAAAACACCCCTCTCTCTCTCTCTCTCTCTCTCTCTCCTCCCTCACTAATGTTTTCTCTCTCTTACCTAAGCCATCCCACCCTCCCTCCTTCCCTCTAAATAGCAACACCCACTCATCCCTCCCCCCTCCCCTACCCTTTCTCCTCCACCCTCCAAATCCACCCGGGGTCCCCCTACCATTTTAACCCCGCGGCCTTAGCCGCTAATGCTCCGCGTTTGAAATCGCTAAGCGCACCCGAAACCCTAGCCCCCTCCCCTCCCGAGTCCCGACCGCCATGGGCAAGTACATGCGCAAGGCCAAGGTGGTGGTCTCCGGCGAGGTGGTGGCCGCCGCCGTCATGGAGCTCGCCGCGGCGCCGCTCGGGGTGCGCACCCGCGCCCGCTCCCTCGCGCTGCAGAAGAGGCAGGGCGGGGAGTACCTCGAGCTCAGGAGCCGCAGGCTCGAGAAGCTCCCTCCTCCCCCGCCGCCGCCGCCGAGGAGGAGGGCGACGGCTGCGGCTGCGACTGCTGATGCGACGGCGGCGGAGAGCGCGGAGGCGGAGGTGTCGTTCGGGGGGGAGAACGTCCTCGAGCTGGAGGCCATGGAAAGGTGGGGATTCTCTCTCTCTTCTTATTGTGCGATTCTTTTTTTGTTTTTCGTGGGTTTCTTGGTTGGATTGATTGGGGGAATCGCGTGATTAGGGTTCAGGGTTTAAGCACCGTACGGGAGTTCTTGGGGTTCGATGTTTCTATCCGGTTTTTCGCATCGGAAAATTTTGGGGATTTTTTTTCGGTGCGATTGTGGCGCTCGGAATTCCTGTGGCCAGTTTTGGGGTTTCGAAAGTATCGAAATGGAGGCGAGGAATCTTTTTTTTTTCCATCACACGCGGTTGTAAAGCCCCGATGCTTTCTTGGTGGGATTCTTGTCCCTTTGCTAATTGAGACATGCAATTCGTGCTTTCCTTGTTGCCTAAATTTGTTCTTTTTCCATGTTTCTTGTGGCGATACAGCCTTTTCTTTTTGCCAATTTCTTGTCCCTTAGCTTGTTTACAAGTTAGAACCCATTTTAACTTCTTTTGAAGAAGGGAAAAAAAGAAGAAGAGAAGGTGTTCCCAAGTTTTAATCCAAATGGTTGCAAGAACCACTTCTTTGCCCCCCAAATTTACCTCGAAGAATCCCCCCAAATTTGTTATTGTTTTGGATGATAAAAAGGTAGGAACTGTGCAGTAGTGCTCAAGCTCTCAACTCAAATCCCAATTGAAACTTGATCAATTGATTGAGCCCCCCTCTTAGTGGGGTTACTCCCAGTGGCCATGGCCTCCTGCTTTTCCTTAGTGGAAGGGAAAAGCAGCATCCTTTCCCTCCTGTTCTTTGTGTTTTGTTTGGGGGGTAGGGACCCCTCTCAATCTTTTACCAATCAAAAGCCCTCACCTTTTGCAAGAAATTTCTCTCATAAACATCCTTCCCAAAGGCACCCCCCATCTCACCACCCACCTCAAGGCCTCATTCTTGCAACTAACTAGCCTGTCACTTCTCTGGGTTCTGGAAGGGTGATGAAATGGCATGCCTTGGTAAAACCATCTTCCTGGGCCATGCCCCCAAATTGTCACCACCATTAAATGTTTGAGGTGAAAGGAGGGGGTCCTCCCCCTCCCCACAAGTACTAGAAGTTGATTTGTTGGTGATCTTTGGTTCAAGCTAGGGGGATGGAAGAACATTTTAGGATCAGCTAGCTAGGCTACTACTACTACTACTTGCTTCTGCAGTTCTTGGCAGGATAATATTTTTAGCTACTACTACTGTATCTCACAAGCTAGCAAACGTTCTTGGTTCTAGCACTATCTTGTGGAGGTGGGGGATCTTCCTCAGCCTAAACAGGTCAAAGACCCTATTTTGCTGGCGTGTCCTTTGGTGTAGGATAGCTCCATTTGTTAGCTTGAATTGTGTGAAAAATACATGGGTTGCACCATCACCGAAGTACCCAAGAGTGGGGGCAACTTGCTTGCAAGGGACAAAGGGCGTGCCGTATGAGAGAGATGAGCAAGTGCTGCGTCATTTTTGGTTTGTCATCTTGGGTGCAAGATCAAGCAGCAGGTGTCACAGGACTCACCACAGCTTGGGCTGTCCTTGGTGCCCCATGTCCAAGGGTGCATTCATTGCACCTCCTCTAGCCATGGCCTAATGGTGCATACTTCTGTGCCTCAAGGACTGTTGTCTTTGAACCATTGATGGATATCTATCTGCATCCATTTGTTTTAATCCTTGGAAGCACCATGCGTGGCCTAAATAGTGTGATCTGAACAGTGAGCATCTAAGCTAGCCATGGCCCTCCCAAGCATTTGCCATGGTGGAAGCTGCAGTGCAGAGTCAGCATGTGGTGTTGTTGCTGGGCCACTGTTGGTGACCGTCCTACCACCTTTTGCATGCAGCAGCAGCCAGCAGCAGCTTCGGATGCCGGTGCTTGGGTCTCTAGGATGGAGTTATGGCCGGGGGGATCACCTCACCTGAGCTAGTCATGTGATTCAGATATGGGAGCTCCTTAGACCAAACCATTTTCTTGTTTCACTTGGCCTTGTGTTTGGTTGTCCCCTAGCCTTTTTTTGGCATGTGAGATAAACATTCAGAGGTGGAACATGGTTTATTTTGCAGGACCACGGCGATGCTGATTTTTTTTCTCAATATTACCGGTGCATTTTTCTTGTTTAGTTTTTGGTACAAAAGAAAAAAAAGCTTACGTTGCATGTTCTGTTTTAAATTTGTATGCTTTTGTTTCTTGCAGGAATACCAGGGAGACGACACCTTGCAGCTTGATCAGGGACCCCGATACGATTAGCACCCCTGGATCTACCACAAGGCGCAGCCACTCGAGTTCTCATTGCAAGGTGCAAACACCCGTGCGCCACAACATTATTCCAGCATCAGCAGAGCTGGAAGCGTTCTTCGCTGCCGAAGAGCAACGGCAACGACAGGCTTTCATCGACAAGTACGATCTTGCTTTGCTCTTCTATTATGTTCAGTAAATATATCCCTGGATGCATTGTGATAATGTCCATGGCCTTGCAACTTAGAAATACTATAATGGTGTATTATCGCTGACTGACAATTTAACTTCTTTGTCGTAATCTTCAGGTATAACTTTGATCCTGTGAATGACTGCCCTCTTCCCGGCCGGTTTGAATGGGTCAAGCTAGACTGATAGATTTTCAGGAAAAGAAGGGCACCATGGACCTCTCTGCTCCCTCCACAGTAGTAGCGTGGCAGAGGCGCTTACCGTCAAGTTAGCTTTGATCCTGTTGTAAAAATTTAGGGTTAGCCTGTAGACTCAATGGTCAATGTGAACATACAGAACTGATGCTGAGTTACAACCCTAATCCCTCAACTACAATGTAACCCTTAACAGCTCATTCTGTAAGGAACCACCTCCTCCTCTAGGGCCTAGCTAGCCTTATCATCTGTTATTACCAGTTGCTGGATTAATGAAGTTAGATCTAGATATTGTGTCACAGTTTAACCTGTTCTGTGTGTGGTGGTAGCATTGGCATTGGCAATGGGGTATGGCAGTGTGTGTGTGGTGCTGCACTGCACCTCCCGAAGTGCTGTAATTTTTGTCTATACTTCTGCTAAATTGTCCATCTGAAAAGCTGGTTGCAATGCTTGATAGGGAGTGGCATCTTCATCAGACCCCAGTATACTACCTGTGCCATTATTGCTACCAATGCTTTGCATTTCTGTGTGCAATTTGCTCATGCTCTCCTCTCAGGTTGGTTGCTGCAATGCTTCATGTGAGTCTGGGATGGTTCTGCTTGGAATTCTCTTCCATCTGGTGAATGTGTGTGTTGTTGGTGCATGCTTACCTACCTTTGTGCAATGTGGTGCTCTCTGCTCAGGCTTAGTGGGGTGATCCTTTTACTGTGTAAGCTGCCAATGCTTTTGACTGTGATGGGCCATTTGGGCATGTTGCACTTGCACAAGGCACATTTGCCATCCTCTCTTTTTTTTTCTCCTTTTTTTTTTTACTCAGATGGTAGTAACTGGTAGTGGTAAAAGAGGGTCCCTTTTCACAGTTTATCCTTTCACCACAACACTTTTGGTGCATCCTGGCCTGACCAGTGGTCTTTCACCTTTTCACTTACCTTCCTGGGCTTTCTTTTTGAGTTGAAACCACAGTACTTTTTGATTTTCCATTAGATCATACACTTTCTGTCAAGTAAAATATGAATAAAATTGACTCAAACTTCTTGGACTGCACACTGTAGCAGGAGCTTGATTGAGTTTGTCTAGTGTTGCATTGTCCTGTGTGCTGTCCTCTGCTCTTCTCAGGGGGTGTTTGGGAACTAGAGACTAAATTTAGTCCCTCTCACAAAAGTACAAGTCCCTATATTAGGGACTTATGTTTTTATGAGAGGGACTAAAGTTTAGCCCCACTTTAGTTCCTCCAACCAAACACCACCTCAGTTGAGGACCTGAAATCCTGAATGTCAGTTTGAACCTAGAAGTATTCAGTATCTTCAGTAACATGCATATATGCCGGTTTTGCTTTCTCATCATGATTTTTTAAAATCGTTGTCTAGAAAAATCATGATATTTATTTATTCGACTATCTTAGTAATCACAGTTGTTTAATCTGAGAAAGAAGAGCTTTTATTTCTGTAGAAAAGTTCCAAAGCTCATGCTATCTGTTTCATATAATATATGGTGTGTCAGGTATCATCTGGAAGTAGAACAAATTCTGATTGAAACAACACAGTGTTCAGCTGTTATCTTATCTCTAACAGTTCTTCACTTGGAATATTACTCCAAATTCATTTGAATCTCACTGCGTGTTATAACAAATCTGGTGATGAGACGGTTCATACATGAAACTGTTCGCCTTTGAAAATGTCAAAGATCAAGACAAAGGTATGTTTTGTGGGGCTAACCATTTAATATGGAGCCTAGTGAATTCTTTGGCAGTTTCTTTTCAAGTACGAGTACAAGTCCACCGACCAATAAAAGACAATTTTATTTGCCGAACTAATACATTTTGACAATTTTGCTCATTAATTTTGTTTGCAACATGTCATAAAAATGACATAATTTTTAATTTATGAGATTTGTTCAGAACTTCTTACTATGTTTATTTTTCCTATTTCCGCTTGGTATGGATCTATTGTAATAATGTACGTTGGGTTTTGTGCATTATCTAAAAGAAAATTATGAAATTTGTTCCACAAAATGAGTTTTTTCATATGCAAACATGTTAGAAATGATTGGCCCCCAGGATGAATCTGACAGTTCCATTCTTCTCATGCTGGAGTATCAAAAGAAATGTGAGGTTTGTGAAATGCTTGCTGCAGCTCTTCCAATGTTAAGTAATCAGTAAATTCTATACTTTGTTAACACACTGGGGGTCAGAACTCAGAAGCACAGTTGGTGGATTCTTGTTGACAAGACAAAAATTTGAAGGAATCCTTTTCATGCATCAAGAGCTGCAAAAGACAAGAGGGGAGCTCAAAAAGTGTATAGGTAAGAGCTGGGGATTCCCTATCATACACTTGTGTGTACATTCTTAAAAGCCTCAATGTGTGTACTTCCTTCTTGCAAGTCCAGTTGGCCTTATGATTGCCAAAGTACTCAAAGTTCATGTGTTTCTAGGGCTATGAAAGAGAGATGCACAGGCATCCTTGCTGACATGAACAACAATTATTCTAGCACTATGGTGTGTCTCAACTGAACAACTACAAGTGGTACATATTTTCTAAATTTTATATGGCAGGTAATACTAAGCTCTTTTTTTAACAATGGATAAAAATCCAGCCTTCCAGGTCTCATAACCGAGAAACAACAAAACAATAACCAGATAATACTAAGCTAGGCTACACAAATCCTGAAGCACCCAGATAATCACATATTACCATTGTGTTCTTGTAGAGCTGCATAAGTTAGTCTTTTCTTGAGTACTTCAAACATTAAAAAAAAACATTTGTAAACCATCAGATGACCTGAATGAATTTTGTTGTCGTTACTGTTCGGATCACTATTTCAAGCACAGATGTGGTGATGACTTTTGCACAGTGACGAAAAGGTTTAGGCTGTCCTGAATGGGTGATCCTCTCATGTGTAATAACTTCATGGATGATGGTAGTAGTAGTACTTGCCAGTCTTCATTCAGAGGTCTGGAAGCCATTGCTACGGACGAATTTAACATGAGCTCTGTGCCTGTGCCTTCTTCAGATACAGCAGACTGGGGCAGCATTAAGAATCATCAACAAACATATGTAGAGTAGAGGTCCCCCCAAATCAACTTTGGCACTTAACTAGAGGATGATTTCATCTGACCACTTTGGTCAGTTGCCACATAATTTTATAGTAATTGCTTAGGCTCTCAATGGAACTGGGAACTGGTTGGTGTAGTGCAGTGTACACTGCAATTAAATACAGGATTTAATCCATGGTTGCGAGTACAATTAAGTTAAAACAGCCCCAAAGCCACTCTCTACCCTAATAACCCCAGTATTCCTTTGCGAACCCTGGTGATCTTGGTTTCATGGGAAATTTGGTGCGAACGAAACGCTAGAATCTTCCGAAACATCGCCTCAACACCGATGTCCATCATTGCCAAGATCAAGGAGGAAGCTCGAGCTTGGGTCAAGGCTGGAGCTTCAAAGCTTCAAGAGTTTGGTATTTTGGGAGATATCACTTAATCTCTTTTGGCGGGTTCCTGTGGGTGTAGTTCTTGAGGCTCCCCATGTACATATTTTGGTCTGTTTTTTCTCCATCTCTATTAATATACGAGGCAAAGCTTTTACCCTCCTTTCAAAAAAAAAAAGCCACTCTCTAGATCTCCTTTCATTATTTCATTTTCTTTCTTTGCAATTTTGTAGATATACTGGTTATTAGATAAAAATTTCCAAAGAAACATTATACATATGGATTTTTTTTTGTTCCTACCCATAATCCATCTGCTCAACCAAAATTAATGATTATATATGTTGTTAAACTGCTGAATCTGATGGTGCAGATCACCAGACCCAGATAAACTTTTTCTTACTTTAATGTTAGGAAACATTTTTTGAGATGAACTCCAAAGAGTGGAAATCATGGAGATTTAATAGAGACTTTCATTTATGATACCTATACGAACTGAAAGATCCTCTGGCCTTCTCTTGCATTGAAGAAGTTAAGATGGTCTGAATTCCAGACAGGAAATGGTACTGGTCCATTAAACACTAGATCAGGAAAAAACCAGTCAGGACATCTGATATCTTTCTTGAATAAACCTTAAATAGTAGTAGTATGTACAACAAGTGCTGTAATTAATATCTGAACAAAGCATCACTAAATTACTAGTACTACTTACCAACCAACACTTAATTATCTTTCTCAAGTTTTACAGCCATAAACAAGGAGTTGATGACCATAGCATCTGCTTGCACTTGCACTTGCACTGAAGAACCAGCAAGTTCCTAGTAACTCATTTTCAGAAAGAATGAAGTGAAAGAACTGAACATGTACTTCTGCTGGATTCTCCTTTTCATGAGCTTGTGAATGTAGGTGCATGAAATCTAAGCAAGCTCTTTCCAGCAAGATGAGATGACAGAGCAACCAGACTACCACTGAATCCTAAATGTACAATACATAGGGCAAGTCTGATGGAGAGATGCAGCTGCTCCTGCAGGTGTAGGGGGATCATGGACTGACTTGCCATTGGAATCAATGTCCATCTTCACCTGGCGTGCATGTGTGCAATCAAAAGATACCACCATACACTACCTGTACTGCATTTACATGATATACATTGAAGTGTCCCATTTTTTGTCTATTTTGTTAATATGAAATACAATATTTTCGTTATCTTATTTTCTGAGAGCACATCTACTTCAATGGACGCGCGCACACACCCCCTACTCCTATGAGCTTTTCCGAGATATTTATTTTTAGATAATGGAAACTTTTATTGAATCCAGTCAATTACATCAGGTTGATATAATTTTTCTGAGAACACTTCTGGCCTCTGCATAAATAAGATGCACACAACCGAGCACACAAAACCACACTCAAAAAAGAAAAAAAAACATGAAGTATTGAGGGCCATCAATCCAAAGACTAAATCGCCACCCATGAACAACCCCTTGGGATATGAAAACGAATACATGGTGCTCTTTGAGATTGACTAAATCATCGTAGGTGCGTGGTATGTCGCTTACTACTTAAAAAAATAATTAGTCGTAAATACGGACATTTTCTATTTAGGGGCGAAAAAAGAACCATGGTGAGTGGGGAGGAGAGTGGCAGGGGCCGCACTACTAGAGTGGTGTAGAGGCAGTAAGTATTATTACCATTGATTGTCTCATTTGCTGCACTGTCTGCTTGTCCTGAAAGATTTTGCAGTGCTTTGATGCAGTGTGCACTTAGACCAATCATCACACATGCTGGTGATTTGCTTTGGGCATGGAAGAATGAGAGATCCATCTGATCCTCCTTGAGGACTGGGAATAGAGAGAAGCTAGAATGATTAGTGCTGTTCTTTTTTTAAAAAAAAATACTAAAGTGCTTTTTGTTGATGAAAATTTCTCTTAATATGGTATTGTAGTTTCCCAACTACAAGGTGAAAATGGCGGAAAATAAATTAGCAACGACAAATCTACAACCCCGAGGTTTTGGATGACAATGGCACAACAGGAAAGGCAGACCGAAACAGCAAGAACCCAGTACCCATCGAATAAAAAATTACTCTGAACTTCTCAAAGAGAAGTATCTGAAAATTGAACCTTTTCATGTAAAACTCATATATATCATAAACATTCTATCTTTTTGTTTACATGGCTCGTATTCGCTAGCAATCTCATTGTTATTATCAGTTCCATCTTGTGTAGCTACAAGATAATCTTTTCTCTAAGCTATAACGCAGAAAGAAGGATAAAAATTGGTTGCAGAACAAATTTTTTGATTGATTCTGTCAAAACACGTAAGCTAGCTAGCACAATTGGTTCATGAAAGTGGAAGTAATATGTGCATAGTGGTAGGCAACTCTTGAGCAGAGCTCTCTGTTCATCTGAGACAATGAAGGCCCACGGCCCATGGGCCTCAATCCAGAAACCTCATCAACGGCCCAAGATTTTCCACTGCACCTGGGGATTTCAGTCACACTGTATAGGTTGTTTGAACTTGCTATCAGATTTGCAACTTCCATTTCTCTCAAAAAACAAGAAGATTTGCGGCTTCCATTATTAAAAGAAACATATATTTTCTTTCTGTTTCTTTTTTGGAGGGCATGAAGTTTACAAGAATTCAGAAGAAAGCTCATTTTACCCAATCATATGCCGCTATACCGTGTTGTGTCACCCAAAAACCATCAGGTCTGAATTTCAGAGTTGGCAACAACTGAAAATTTACTTGGTACTCCATTTGTTTATAATTTGTTGATGGCCCAAAGTGCAAACTTGACTGAATACTTGATGTAGAGGGCAAGCTTGGTATCTTAACTTTGTCAGTTCTTTCCTTTTTGCTTTTGTAATGTGATGAGAGTTGTCTACTTTATGGACACTTTTAGGTTAACCACCCTCCAAATGACACATCATTTGGACTAACAAGTAACAAAAGAGCTAGCTGCCATAGGTGTCTTTTTCCTCTTAGTTCTTTTCAAGCAAGGAGTCCTTCTTACCTGTCAAACGTTGAACAGCAAAGGAAGCTGAACAGTATTCAGACTTGAGGATTGGACCTGTCCTGTTTATTATCTGTCATACAGAATGGGCAAGTAAAATGACAGGAAAAGAATTTCATGAGATGGAAACATGGTCCAGTTCATGCTTGTTTCTTGCTCTCTCTTTTTCTTCTTCTTCTTCTTCTTCTTCTTCTGATAGCTCAGCAGCTCTCCTCTGAACCTCCCAAGTCTGAACTCTGAACCCATTGTGGCAATGTACAGCAAGACACCATCATCTAGAACACTAATTTGACCTTTTGTTATCGCAAGGCATTGATTGCAAAGCCCCACAGCCAGCTAGAGCTACAGCAAGAATGTCTCTTTTCTGTGTTTCTGGGGGGGTCCAGATGAAGGATTTGCATTTGTTTCTTTGCTCTTTGGGTGCAGAGTGCAGAGAGTGCGATGGATATCAAATGGACAGATGGTCCTCATGTTCATCAGCGTACAGTGTGGTAGACTATCTCATTCCTTTCGCTAGAGAAAATGGAGCATATGGTTTTTCGCCCCACACAAAAGTTTGTTGGAAGAAAGGCTGGATTTTTAAACGCGTTGTCTGCAGGCAGAATGTGCAGAAAACGCCTAAGGATTGTCAAAAGAATGCATAGTAGGATGTGAAAGAATGGGCTTGGGATAAAGGGAATCATCCAAACAGATGTCGAATTCGAAACAAAAAGGAAAATTTTGAAGTTTGTATGACTTTCTTTTAACTTCTTTTCGCATTGTATTGGATGGTCATTAATCTCGAAACATTATATTTTTTTACTTCCTCCATTCTAAAATACTTGTCACTGGATACTATTTATCTTCGAGTCTTGACCGTTCGCTTTTCTTTTTTGAAAACAATAAAATGTAAAAATACTTTGAAGTAGGTTATGTTCTAAATATAGCCATGAAACTGCCACTTTTAAGATGTGACGATTAAGGATTTGCCGCTTACTGTGTATGACACGTGGGCCCTCATATATCTATAACATGTGGGTCTAGTGACAAATTCTTTATCACCACTCGTAAGAGTGGCAACTAGTTAATTATTTCCTATACAACATAGTAATATAACAATTTAAAATTTATCAGTAGTCAAAATTAAAATTGTACTAGTCAATAATGATATAGGTGTGTCGGTGACATGGGACCGGGGGTATCTTGACTAGAGGTTTGGGGCAGCTGCAGTCACCCACGTGGCCTGACCCCCTCGGGGGGGGGGGGGGTCGGGCCCGAGGGTGATGTGGCCGCCCCTCCCTCTGTCTCCCCGAGGGGTCGGGCCGCTCCCGTTTCGGCCCCGAGGGCTGGGGCGCCCCGGCCCCCTGTGGGTTTGGCGCCACGTGTGTGGGTTAGGTGAGCACAGCGGCGCTCACCTAACCGCGTTTATTGCGGGTTGGACGAGCGCCCCACGCCGCATTTAATGCAGCGCAGCACACTCGTTCGGTCCGTCACAGGTCACAGTGTGTGACCGGTCACAGACCGGTCAGATCGCGGGTTAGGTGGCAACAGACGGCCTGACACACGCCTCGCCCCGTCCCGTCGGAATGATGAGAACCTCCAGGCACTCGTCCCTAGCCGGAGCCGGCGTGGGAACTCCTGGAGTTGGCACGTCAGCCCCGGCCAGATACATTCCAGGCTTCATCGCAACCATTGCAACGAAGTCATTGTATGAAGAAGGGCAGACGTGTAGCATGCTGAACTGACACGTGGTGGACAAGAATGACCGGTCTGTGACTGGTCTGACGCCGGTCGCGTCATCGGCAGACAACCGTGCTCCCACGATGCATCTGCCTCCGGTGGAGTGGAGGTAGGTATGACCCATCTCGTCGGATGGTCATTTGGAAAGCAGCCATGGCAAATCTCCGCCCATTAATGAGGGAGTAACAGGGAGATCCCCGGTGTCAGGCGAGAGACGGCGCTGAGCCTCACTCAAGGACAAGTTGTGATTTAGCTTCCAGGCGAAGGTGCAAGCCAAGTTTTGGTCAAGATAGGGTAGGTCCCCACCCAGAAGAAAAGTAGGTAGAAGTGGTGCATGTAGTATCCCCTTGAGATATAAAAGGAGGACCTTGCCCACCAAAAAGAAGAGAGGGAGGAGGCGAGAGGGGTTCTGGAGCCTGAACTCTCTGGCTCTCCGGCTCTCTGTAAATCCTTCACACACAGATCCACCAGAACACAGGAGTAGGGTATTACGCTTCTCAGCGGCCCGAACCTGTCTACATCGGCCGTGTCTCGTGCACTTGCTCTCTCGCGAACATTCTCCAGATCGATCGAGGGCGAAGAACCTCACTTAGCGCCCCCGGCCGAACCGGCAAAGGGGGGCCTGCGCGGTCTCCCGGTGAGGAGCCCCACGCTCCGTCAAGGTGCTACCTTCATCACAAAATATAAAAACCCAGTACTGGACACATCCTACTAAGTACAATGGAAATGTGTAGATTCTTTAATTTTGGGACGGTGAGTTTTTTTTAAGGGTAAATTGGAACCATGCCATTATAATTTTGCAAAGTTTGAGATATGTCATCGGTATCTTAATGACATATAGGACCCACATGAGTCAATGATGTGTGGGTCAGGATGACATATCTCAAATTTTATAAAATTATAATGGCACGGTTCTAATTTTCTTTTTTTTGAAAGAGGCTGTGTTTAGTTCACACCGAAGTTGGAAGTTTGGTTGAAAATTGGAACGATGTGATTGAAAGTTTGTGTGTGTATGACAGTTTGATGTGATTGGAAAAGTTGAAACTTTGGAAAAAAAAACTTTGGAACTAAACACACCGGAGGGTAGTAGTTCAATTTCAATTTTAATAAAATATAAAATACTGAGACGAAGAATGACCAAAATGCCCCCCTCCCTCTTCTTTCTCTTCTTCTTCCCCTGCCTTTCTACACACTACTACTACTCTTCTCCCTCTCCATCTCTTCCCTATCTCCCGCTGCCGGAGCCACCGCCGCGCGCCTCGCCTCGCCTCGCCTCCACGCGCTCGCGGCGGCCGGCGAGCACGCCCCCGCCCCCGCCCGGAGCGCGCGCGGCGTGGAAACGGTGCTCCTCTCCTTCTCCGGTCCCGCCCTAGGCAGCCTCCTCCTCCTCCCCCTCCGCCGACGAAAGCAGGTTCGCGAGAGGCGGCGTGCGGCGTGGCGGCCGCGGAGCTGAACTCGAAGGTGTTCTTCTCTCCCCTCTCCCCCTCCGCGTGACAGTTCTTTGTGCCCGCGGTTTCTGGAGGAGATCCGTCCGGATTCGGATTGATTCCTCTGCCTTCAGTTAAACACATCCGGGTTCTTTTGAATGCGTTGTGCAGTACTAAAAACGCAGTTTCGTTTTTTTTTTGTTCATAATAAAAAGGTAGTAAAATTTTTGGGCCCAGATTAACCCCCCTTCATGCCCTGCGTTAGGTCGGGCGAACTGCTGCGAATTTTGCTGTGCTCGAGTTTGGTGAAATTGTGTTCTTCCATCGAAAAAAAAACAAAGAAGTTTTCTTCTTTTTTTTTTGGGCATACCGCAAATTCTCGTGTTGTGGAGTATCCGTGATATTTTGGTACAAGTTGTGCTTGACTTAGTTCTGTGCTGAATTATGACGCGAATCTTGTGGTTGGTTGTCACATTGTACTAGTTGGTGATAATCTTGAATGTGCTATCAAATGTTAGGTGATTGTGTGGCGAGATGGGAAGAGCAGGTTACATGATAGAGAAGGATGGAGGGTAGGAAGATTGAGAGGGGGAGATTGAGGGGCTTCGTCCGGCGGATGGCAATGGAGTGCCTGTGCTCCGGGGAGCAGCTGAGGGCGGCAGATGAGATCATCCGGTCACCGGAATCTGCAATCACCAAAGATTGCTCGGCCAGCGGGTACTCGTCCCAGAACGGAGAGATCGAGCAGTACCTTGATAATGGCAACATTGAGGAGGCCGAGTTGTCGCTCCGGGAGGGTGTTTGCCTTAACTATGAGGTTGGTACAGCTTTTCTGAAACTAATTTTGATTTTGTGACGATTGCTTGGTGAATGCGAGGTTTCTCTGAAGTCTGAACCTGTTTCTCGTGAATATATCTGTGCTTTCCTGGGAGTAATTTATCATGACAGCTAATATGTTTCCTAGTTAAGTTAATCTTGAAACATTCATTTTTTTTTTCATTTTATGCTCATGTGAAGATAAGTGTATACAAAATTCAACATGTGCTGAACTTACCTGTTTTTGTTGACTTACTTTAATAGATGTATACCTGTCTTATCTGCTACCAGAATTGGTTCACCGGTTCCCTGCCGTACCTTTTAATAAACAATTTCCCATGTCCTTCTTATTCTATGATTTGTCAACAACATGTACTCTTACTATACCTACAATATATACTGGTGACAGAACTGGCACTTCAGATGATTATTTTGAATTTTGATTACCTCTTAAGTCTCTCATTCTCTGTTTAATGATCAGATGCTAGTATCTTTTGTTACTTCACATCTTCAGGATTTTAATATCTGTGGACTTATTGATTGCAATCTTGACGAACACCCAAACCAGGGCAAAATCATCACATATAATTAAAATTTTGCAGGAAGCAAGGGCATTACTAGGAAGGCTAGAGTACCAGCGTGGGCATGTAGAAGCAGCACTTCGTGTATTTGATGGGATTGATATACCTGCTTTAGTCCCTAAGATGAAAATCTCAATTGCTAGAAAAGTGGATCGTCGGAAGACTCGTTCACAATGGGATTCTCCACCAATGCCCTTGCATGCTGTCAGCCTACTCATGGAGGCCATATACCTTAAATCAAGAGCTCTTCATGATCTTGGAAAGTTCAAAGGTAACCCCATTCCTGTCACACAACATGTCAGAATCAGTCCTGTTGACATTCCTATAATTTTGTGTGAGATTACTGCAAGAGTAACATAAATTCAATATTTCGAATTTGATTTTGCAGAAGCTGCACAAGAATGCAGAATGATATTGGATATCGTGGAAGCAGCAGTGCCTGAGGGTTTACCAGCAGGCTTTGGAAAAGATTGTAAATTAAACGAAATAATATGCAAGGCTGTAGAGTTGCTCCCTGAACTATGGAAACTAGGGGGATTTTCACTTGAAGCCATATCTTCATATAGGAGGTCTCTTCTCAATAATTGGAACCTTGATGGAGAGACCATAGCTCGCATACAAAAAGAATTTGCCATTTTTCTCCTATATAGTGGCTGTGAAGCACGACCTCCAAATCTTCATTCACAGTTGGATGGTTCATTTGTACCTCGCAATAATATGGAAGAGGCTATTCTTCTTCTAATGATTCTATTAAGGAAGTTCAATCTCAAGAGGGTTGAGCGGGATCCTACTATAATGCATCACCTTACATTTGCTCTGTCCATCTCAGGGCAGCTAAAGTCACTAGCTGTACAATTTGAAGAATTGTTACCTGGCATGCTGGATAAAAGAGAGTGGTCATACAATGTTGCGTTGTGTTACCTTGCAGAAGAAGATGATTCGACAGCCCTGAATCTTCTCAAAAGGATATTAAAATCTGGAGATGATTCTGACAATTTCAAAGAACTCCTCTTAGCTTCAAAGGCTTGCACTGAAAGGAGTGCCCAAACTGAAGGTGCTTCCTACGCACAGAGAGCAATAGCCAATATGCAGGGAGGATGTGAACAAATGGCGGGTGTTGCAGACCTGCTGCTTGGAGTTAACCTTTCTAATCAAGCTAGATGTGCCACATCTGATACAGAGAGAGCTTCTTGGCAGTGTGAAGCTCTGGAGGTGCTTGAAAATGCTGAAAATAAGATGCATGGGAAAGATCCTCGTGCAATGTACAGTCTCAGCCTTGAAAATGCTGACCAGAGAAAATTAGATGCTGCTGCCTTTTATGCCAAGAAATTGGTGAAATTAGAGGCTGGATCGGAATTGAGGAGTTGGCTTCTTTTAGCTCGAATACTATCTGCTCAGAAACAGTTTGCTGATGCTGAAACCATTATTGATGCTGCTCTCGATCAGACTGGGAAATGGAGTCAAGGAGATTTATTGCGAACCAAAGCCAGAATTCAGGCTGCACAGGGCCAACTCAGGAACGCTGTTGAGACATACACCAAACTTCTCGCTGTCATTCAACTCAGAACCAAAAGTCTCAGTGCTGGGATCTTTTTGGCAAAGGTGCTTTAAAAATTCTATTTTGAAATTCATCAGAGATAATCACATATTCTTGCACAATATCAATTATTCTTAGACTAGTAGCTCTTGAAACTCTACTGTTTCTGTTACATCAGTTATCTGGTAGCATTTTCTACCAGCTGAAACATGATTCTACGTTCATTTTAATTCCCATTTTCATGACTAGAGATAATTCCCTTGATGTGACCTACCTAATCTCCTTTCTGAAAGCATAATAAGTTTAAAAAATGTCAGATTTATACATTACCTAATCAACTATCAAGAGTCACCACACTTCCCTTTTACTTTTGTTTGTCGTAAATTTGGTCTTGTTCATGCATGGAACAAATGGGCACTTATAAACCATGCGACTGCTTGGTGTAAGCATTGTGTGTTGGCTGTGATGCAGCTGAGAAGCAAATAAAAGGCCCCTCATCTCTGACATTCTCTTGCAACTTTTTACAGGGCACTAAGGATGATATAAGCCTGGAAATAGAGACCTGGTATGATCTAGCTCTGTTGTACCTACGCATGTCACAATGGAGGGATGCAGAGGTCTGTGTATCCAAGATAAGGACCATCAGTCCATATTCTGCCTTGGCTTGGCATGTTAAAGGTGATTATTGTTTATTTCTTATAAAGTATGTGACATGTTAGAATTTTAGATGGGGGGAAGCGAAGATAAAATTTCTAACTGTTTTGTACTCAAGTTTTTCTATTTGGCATTGCAATCTGCAAAATGGGAACATAGGAGAAAAGCTTTTGCATTAAACCTGCAAATATTATATCTAAGATCTTTTTGACATTATTTGTACATATTCGATTTGCAGGAAAACTCTATGAAGCAAAAGGTCAACCAAAAGAAGCCTTGGGATCCTATTTCAGAGCATTAGACCTTGACCGTAAACATGTTCCAAGTTTGATATCAACTGCCTCTGTTCTTCGAGAAATTGGCAACAGGCCATTGCCTTCGGTCCGGTGCTTTCTGACCGATGCGTTGCAACTGGATCGAACAAATCATGCGGCTTGGTTTAATCTTGGGCTACTCTACAAAGAGGAAGGTGGTCGGTCAGCAGCAGAAGCTGCAGAATGTTTCCAGGCGGCTGCTCTTCTTGAAGAAACAGCACCTGTAGAACCTTTCAGGTGACACTTGTATGTACAGGTGCTATAGAAACTGTAAGCTATTGTTTGTCTTTTGAAATGTTTCATTTACACTGATGAAAAGGTAGATTGCAGAACTCCAGTCATGACCTTTGGGAGATTATAGTGTCAGAAATTGTTGGAGAAAAACTTGGTTAACAGTCAATATATATAGCCTCAGTTCATTTTTTATGTAGATTTCTGAAAAATGATATTCCTCTTGATTTCTTCATGGATCAACTTTGTTCAGTTTGATTTATAGATGGTCAGGGCAACAATGTGATGAGTATATCTTGAGAAGCAGCATGTCTTAAAAGTCTGATGTATTTTTATTTCTGGTACTGATGCCAATTACATAAATGTCTCAGCAAATCAGAACTTCAGCAGTAGATGAGAAGTTATCGATGCCCTCACTACCAAGGCCTTTGAAATTTATGTAATCCAGTGGTACCTCTTGTGACTGCATGGTAATGTTGGATACTTGTGGATGCTTGCCATGCTGACAACCAAAGCTTTTTTCGCAGATTGCACATGTATATTTTTAAAGCATTAGAATTGTTTCTGATGCAGCAGACTGCATTGCTCTATATAGACTTTTACTGAGGCCTTCCTTGGTTTCCTGACCTCCATGAAGATCCTTCAGCATTTACTACTGTTCATTCAGCAGCTTATCTAGTACTAGTACTAGACTCAAATGAATGCTGGTAGATATTGGTCTCTTTTCATGCACTAATGGGACTGTCTGCTGTCTACCTAATTAAATGGTGTCTCAACCTTCTTGTTGGTGGTTTTTTGTTAAAGTCAGATGACGATGAATCGGAGGAATTCCAATCATTTTTTTTCTGGTAAGCTTGCTCCAAATTTCACACATGTTCTTCTAGTGCATCAATGAATTTCTTTTTATGATCATATGGTTTCCTACTGAAATATGAAGCTGATCTTGTATTGTCTGAAATTTGCAGTTACCTGTTAATTACCTCACATAAAACCAGTTACCTGTTCTTCTACGGAAATAGGAAAAATTTTTAGCTAGTTAACTTAGTTCAATTTCACCATGAAATCTGATTTTTTTTTTCAAACTCCAGTTAAATTTCCAGGCCTGCCTGCTTACACTGCTTCCATTTTACAGTCTTCTAGCATAGCAACTTTGAAAACGCATCCTGGACATTGACTTGTGTTCTTTGCCTTTGCAGGTAGCACCATAGCAACATGTAAAAAAAAAAAATCCAAAATGAAACAGGCCCATGCAAATGTAAGCTCGGTGTGAATATTTATGCCCTTTGCTGAAGCCTTCTCCATCATCCATGCAAACTTGTGGATAAATGGTTCAGCCTTATTCCCTGAACGTCAGTAAATCCGTTGTGCATGAATTGCTGAGATGTTCAGGGGATTCTCGTGACGTCATTGTGCCGTCATTTTATGGCAAGGAGCGTTGTTTTAACATTTCTTTGGTACATGGTCATGAATTTTCCATTGTTGTGTACTCTACCGAATCTACTATTAGCTGAACTGGAATCAAATATCTTAACAGAATTGGAATCGGTGGACGATGGTTGGTACAGATTCCGCTTAATTGAAGCAGACAACACGACCAGTGGCTCGTGTTGTCGTAGCTAGCTAGTTCTGTTATTTGATTCCATGCTCTAATTCTGCTGGCTTCAACTCCTGGATTCTTATCATAATGGAGTTAGTAAAAAAATGTTTATAAAATACTTCCTCCGGTCAAAATATTTGATGTTTAGGAAATTCAGTTAAACTTTTAAAATTTCAACTATCAATAATTTATCAAATGCTTAGTTTATCTAAAAACAAAAGAATGATATTTGGAAATTTGCATTAAGAAAAATACTATGATAGCATCATAAGCTCATTATATCTTAAATAATAAAATTGATATGTTGAAATTTTAAGAGCCGCTGACACGTGGGCCTCGTCTGTTAGACTCAGCGAGCCAACCACGGTTAACCTACCACGTTAGCGGAAATCACTTCTCAAATCACACAGAGAGTGAGAGTCTATTTGAACTGCTTTTCGAATAGCTTTTCGACTGAGGAAGATATCCAATCGGAAGCAAAGGGACACAATGTAGACTTGTTTCAAAGAAAAATTCTATCCCATGTTCCGTTCGGCCCACTGGAAATATCCGCCCACGGTCCAAACCCATCGGCCCAGCCAAAACGTCTCCACTCTTCCTTTCCGGTATTCCCACTGGGATCCGCATCCGGTTGGATATATTTCCTCCTCCTCCTCCCCCACCAGATGCTCGTCCACTCCTCCGCTCGCCGCCTCCTCGTCTCCCGCGGCGGCGGCAGCGGCAGCGGCAGCTTCTTCCCCTTCGCGGCGGCGGCCAACGCTTGCTCACGCAGAGCCCTCGCTCCTGTATCCGCTAGCGCCATGTCCTACCGCGGCGGAGGCGGCGGGCGTCGCGGCGGCGGTGGGGGCCCGAACTCCCAGCGCGGGCGCGGGCGTGGAGGTGGTGGAGCGGGGAGGGGAGGGGGAGGAGGAGGGCGTGGCGGCGGTGGGAGAGGGGAGCAGAGGTGGTGGGACCCGCAGTGGCGCGCCGAGCGGCTCCGGCAGATGGCCGGCGAGGTGAGGGGTGGTGCCCTACGCTTGTGTGTGTTCGTCGTGGCGATGGGGGATGAGGGTGCTGCGCATGGATCCATTGTTTTGCGTAGAGTATCCGCGGTAGTTGATGTAGGTTGTGATTCCCTTGGAGTTTGGATCAAACTAATGCAGTAGTTACCTTTTGAATCTATCAGAAAAGGGTTAAGTAGCTTGATTTTTCCGCTGTTTCTATTCACCGATAACCGTGTGATACTCTCTGCATACTGCTTGATGGCGTTGATGCAAAACTAAGTTAGCTGCCTTAAGAATTTAGTTTTTTCTTTTGGAAGGTTTAAGGCTATCATTAGATAGAGTTAGATTCGCATGTCCTGTGATTGTTCTCTTCTGCTCTGGTTTGTTGCCAGGAACAGGCCCACATGGACACCAGCCACTGGTCTGATGCAATTGAGCCTGTGATGTAAAACTTGACTAAGCTGCTTCAATTTCTCGTAACTTATAAGATACGTGCCTCTTTGTCATCTTCAGGTGGAAAAGGTCGATGAGAACGAGTGGTGGAACAAGATAAGACAATTAAGAGAAGGGTCTCAGCAGGAGCTAGTTGTTAAGCGGAATTTTGGGCGTGATGGACAAAACATACTGGCAGATATGGCTCAGAGACAAGGGCTTTACTTGTAAGTGTCACATTTTTTATTTAGCCTTTTACTTTTCTTAACTAGATTCAACTTCTTGCTATCATCACCGTTCTCAGATTTTGTTAATTGAATAGTTGGTGTTGAAACTTATTTAACTTGTATCCAGTAAAGCAATGACTACTTGATAGTATATAATAGATCATTTGATGCCTTTTTCCGTATCTCTAACTTACACTTGGAGGCTGACAAATTCCATTTTCATTATCCTGTTTTTAACCTGGGGGAAGATAGCAATGTGTACAACAAAGGGAAGACAATTGTTTTCAGCAAAGTTCCACTACCTGATTATCGAGCAGACCTTGATGAGAGACATGGATCAACACAACAAGAGGTATTATTTAGTGCCTTACAAGTACACAAATAACATAGGTGCTTTTCTTATGTGACTTATACTGTTATTATATTTAAACTATGGACAGATTAGGATGTCTAATGAGACTGAGAGACGAGTGGAGAGCCTTTTGGCCAAGGCAAAGTCAAATAGTAATGATTCTGCAAGCACATCTACTCTAACAACGAGGCAATCTCGGCCAAGCACATCTTCGTCAGTAACTGAATCAACAAAAGATATTGATAAAGAAAGGCTCAGTTCTGAGCTTAGGGATATACAGAACTCAAGGAAGGTAATGCCAACTATTCTCCAGTTATGCAAACACATCATTTTTAATTGTTGTGCCATTCACACATCCACACCTAAAGAAAAAGGCTGAAGGTATACATTTTTCTTAGGTTGTGCTGTTGTGCTAGAGATCTTATCATGTATGTTTTTACTTCAGATGATGCCAAGTGCTAGGTCGATGCAATCTTTTAGGGATAAACTACCAGCATTCAAAATGAGAGAGGAGTTTTTAAAAGCAGTAGCAGCCAATCAGGTAAGAAACATAAGATCCATTATTTGATCTATATAGATAAATATATTCATGTCATACATTGAAATTGTGCTCTCTAACAGTACTGCTCTTATATCCTTAGCAAGTAATAGCTTATGTTTCATCTTTACTTGACGTCCCTTAATTGTTCAGACTTCAGAGAGAAAGTATTGTGCTTCCTTTTGTTTAGAAAGCTAGTTTTGAATAGGATCCATTATTTGTTTTTACTAGCTAGTAATATGCACGTGCTTTGCAATGGGCCAGACCCATATAATTAGGGATTGAATGGGTGGGTGGATTGAGGACAGGATCCTATGGTGGTTGGTTACGCACACACGAAGAAGCAGACCTTCTCCCGCCTGCATACGGTGGGAAGGGGACGGAAGGAGGAGAACTGCACTTTTAAAGTAGTAGAGATACAAAGGTGGTGGCTTGAATATAGTGGTCTCAGATTTAACACATTTTGTATGATGATGACATAGACGCATAGTTAGTGTTGTCCTTTTTTTTATTATTTTTGCTGCTCATCTTTGTCTTCTACAATGTACTGATATTTATTTTATTTAGGGTTCTAAGATATGTCATTGCCTTATTGATCTGCCTGTTTAATCTTTCTCCATACCTTATTATATTTTTTGTAATTTCAGGTTCTAGTAATTTCTGGTGAGACAGGCTGTGGTAAAACAACACAGCTTCCACAGTTCATACTAGAAGAGGAGATAGATAACCTTCGTGGTGCTGATTGTAGCATAATATGTACTCAGCCTCGCCGTATATCTGCCATATCGGTTGCAGCTCGTATAGCATCTGAGAGGGGTGAAGAGCTTGGCGATACCGTTGGATACCAGATTCGCCTTGAATCGAAACGATCTGCACAAACCAGACTGCTATTCTGCACCACAGGAGTTCTACTTAGAAGATTGGTATGCCTATGGCTTCACTGTTGTTTATATTCATGATTTTTGATTTTTACTCTTTGCTTCACACTACTTTTTTTGGGTTGATGTGCTTGAATTTGAAGAGAAGTTATGTTCTACCTTGATTCTTTTTTTGGTTCAGAATTGTTGTGTTATATAATGTCTTGGAATATCCAGATTTTGTTCCCATTATTTCTAGGAAAAATTGGTTATATAGCATCGAAAGTTCACGTTTTTGGTTTTATAGCTCGAAAGATACCGGTTCACTTTAATAGCACTCAAAGTTCACCCAGTTCCCATATTTAGCACTTCCGTCAATTCTCGATCGTTTTCCGTCCGCCTTGATCGCTATTGACCTAGCCACGCACACGATATGACGTTTCTACCCCTCATTGCCATGCATTCTACTTGTACTTGTGAGAGGTAGAAACGTCATATCGCGTGTGTGGCTGGGTCAATAGCGATCAAGGCAGACGGAAAATGATAGAGAATTGACGGAAGTGTTAAAAATGTGAATGTGGTGAACTTCGGGTGCTATTAAAGTGAACCGGTATCTTTCGGTGCTATAAAACCAAAAACGTGAACTTTTGATGCTATATAAACAATTTTGCCTTATTTCTATGTGGGTAAGCTCATTTTGTTGTTACGTAACTTATATTTGCTGCAAACAATATATGAATACAGGTTCAGGAGCCAGACTTAGTTGGTGTAAGCCATTTACTAGTTGATGAAATTCATGAACGTGGCATGAATGAAGATTTTCTCATCATAATTCTTCGCGACCTTCTGCCAAGGCGTCCAGACCTCCGCCTTGTATTGATGAGTGCAACCATAAATGCAGAACTTTTTTCCAAATATTTTGGAGAGGCACCAATTATGCATATCCCGGTACTGTCACATTTCATGATCATCATTGATAAAAGACGTGCCAGATTAAGCAATGTGCACTACACTTACATTTAGGTGCTTTGAGCAGGGCTTCACATTTCCTGTTACCGAGTTGTTTTTGGAAGATATTTTAGAGAAGACCCGGTACAAGATCAATTCTGAACGTGACAATTTTCAAGGGAACTCAAGAAGAAAGAGGCTTGCATCAGTTAAGAGTGATCCAATATCTGATGCTTTTGAGGTAAACTTCAGTTATTTTTTGCATTGTGCCAGCTACTCGATCCCTCCAGTTCAAAATGTAAGGCATATAAATTTTACCTTCATAGTACAGAGCCACATAAGGTGTGCTTGCAAAATTAACAACTGACAACTGGGATAGAAAGGCAAAAGGTCATGTCTACTGTTCTTATTGTTTTCAACAAAAAATAAATGAATGGACTATAAGTAGTTATGAGGTCGGCGAATCATTCAAATTAACACACTAATTCAGCTCTGCTATCACTAATTCTGTAATTCATATTATTATTCTTGAACATTAATGTGTTGGAAGCTATTGCCGAAGTTAGAAATGCTTGCTTTCTTTTTCTGTAAGTTAGTAATTTATATTATTAATCTTTAACATTAATCTTTGTTTTGTGCACTTAACTTTTTTTCCAGGATGTTGACATTTATAAGGAATATGGAAATTACAGCGTTGCAACTAGGCAATCCCTTGAAGCTTGGTCGGCTACCGAACTAAATTTGAGCCTTGTATGGACTTTTACTGTCTATTTCATATTCATGGTTGCAATTAAGTGGAGATGCATGAAGGATATTGCTGAAGGGGACATTGCTCTTTACCTACTAATAGATGTCTTAGATCAACTTCATTTGCATTCAGATTAATCAGGAGTAGAAAGAACATAAAGAAACACTTCGAGATAGTAAGGGCTTTCAGTGCAAATATATGTGCTGTGTTCTTCTCTGCAAACTGAAGAAAACTGATGAAAATTGCCTTTTGTATTTCATTCATTCTTTATTTGTCTTATTCATTTTATATTATTCATCAGAGGATCTGAGCTAGAGAACTGCTCGGACAACAGTTATGAGCTTAAAGTTTCTTCATCTTGCCAATTGTGATCTTATTTGGTTATGTCAACTAGTGTAGTGCTAATAGAATCTATATTACTATTGTCCCTTGTGATGTTCCAAGAGTCAACTTTTGCACGCTGTTCGTTGCAAAATTCATCTCTTGCATGGCTGCACCGTACTTGCATTTGTTCGTTAGTCTTGTTCCAATTGTTATGCACTTTAAAATCGTGCTAAAATAAGACATCTTTATGCTGACATTTTAGGTTGAAGGTACAATTGAGTACATCTGTCGTCATGAAGGAGAAGGTGCAATCCTTGTGTTCCTTACTGGTTGGGATGAAATTTCGAAACTTTTGGATAAGATTAAGGGGAATAATCTCCTTGGAAATTCCAATAGATTCCTGGTTATTCCACTCCATGGTTCTATGCCCACTGTCAATCAGCGTGAAATTTTTGATAGACCACCAGCCAATATGAGGTAAATCACCTAGGTACCTACCTAGAAATATAGAAGATTGGACTTGGATGCATGAATCTTTGCTGTCTAGTTGTTATGGCTAATATGTTATAGCCAAGTTTTTGCCTTTCTACTTGCATTTCTTCTCATGTTATCTATTTATATTTCTGCTATTACACTTTTATTAGGAACTTATAGAAGCATGCTGGGTTTCCTACCCTTCTAATTTCCAGTTTCAGTATCTATAAAATTAAAGCCAGATCTGGTACATATAGTTGGCATATTTGATATACTATGGTTGGCAAGTGAACTTGTGAAGGTACAGAATTATGTAATGTTAATAAAATAACTTAAGCTAGGCTTATTTAGCAATGACATATCTTCTGTATTTTTCCAAGTCCCAGTTTTGAGCTATCTGGGTTTCTTAAAAAGCTATCTTATTCACTGACATTCAGGTTTTTTGTTTTTTGCTTCATTATTCATTATTTATGTATTGTGTTTGATTACCATTTTATTTTGTTTTATTTTGACGCTTTTTATGTTACATTTGAGCTAGCTGTGTCTTAATGGCTAATCCTATTTTATTTGAACAACCTGTATTGCTTATTGCTGTTGCATATGTATTTTTCAGGAAAATTGTTTTGGCAACAAATATTGCAGAAAGCAGTATTACAATAGATGATGTTGTCTATGTAATTGATTGTGGCAAAGCAAAGGAAACAAGTTATGATGCCTTAAATAAGCTTGCATGCCTTCTACCATCATGGATATCAAAAGCTTCTGCCCATCAGGTACACTGTCACAGTTTATGGAAAGTTGAAAAATCCAACAATAGATGTACTAAATGGATTTTGGTTATGTTACACAGAGGCGAGGTCGTGCAGGACGTGTTCAGCCTGGTGCTTGCTATAGGCTGTATCCTAAAGTCATTTATGATGCGATGCCACAGTTTCAGTTACCTGAAATTCTTAGGACTCCTTTGCAAGAGCTCTGTCTTACTATCAAAAGCTTACAGCTTGGAGCTGTAGCCTCTTTCTTAGCCAAGGCACTGCAGCCACCAGACCCGCTTTCTGTTAATAATGCGATCGAGCTTTTGAAAACCGTTGGAGCATTGGATGACGTGGAGGAGCTGACTTCTTTAGGTTTGAAATTTTGCTGCACCTTTTAGTCTTGTATTGTGGATCTCTTTCTTGATTCTATTCTAACTGTTTTTATTTACTCTGTGTGTCTTCTTCTGTGTATGCAGGGCGACATCTTTGTACACTTCCGCTAGATCCAAACATTGGAAAAATGCTGCTTATTGGATCTGTTTTTCAGTGTCTGGATCCTGCATTAACAATCGCTGCTGCTCTTGCATATCGTAATCCATTTGTGCTCCCAATAGATAGGAAAGAAGAAGCTGATGCTGTCAAAAGATCATTTGCTGGTGACTCCTGCAGGTAATTAATATAATCTTTTCTCTGTTCCGTATTGATTCCTTTTGTCTTACCTGTACTAAAATATCTTTGTCACCATATAATGCAAAGAATGTGAGTGTTATACTGTTATTACCTCAGACATAAGTACCAAATTGATGTAGAATGCTGGGTTGCGTACTAGGTTACCGCTGATAACTTACTTTGACAATTATAACATTTCTACAAGTACTTTAGTTTTGAAAGTAATGTTATGTTGATAATTTTTTGTAACTTATTTTTCCAGTGATCACATTGCTCTTGTTAAGGCGTTCGAAGCATGGAAGGAAGCAAGACGCAGTGGAAGAGAACGCTCTTTCTGCTGGGAAAATTTCCTTTCACCCATGACCCTGCAGATGATGGATGACATGCGTAATCAGTTTTTTGATCTACTATCTGACATTGGGTTTGTTAGCAAAACAAGAGGATTGAAGGTTGACTATCTTTCCACATTACATTTTAATTCAAACATGTAGTGCAATCTAAATTTTCAAAATTAATTATATAGCTTCCTTCAACTTCTGATTGTGTTTGCTACCGTGCTAATAAATAGCACTATAGCATTCATCTAAGCTGAGGTCTTTATTTCCTCACAAGACTGCATTAGTTTCACTATTTGTGGTGTTTATGCATTCACTTTTGCACTTGTCCAATAGTTACTGTCATTTGATTGCTACTTAATAACCATGGTCTGTAAAATTTAGTGTTTAACTGTACGGGCACATATGGGGCCTGTTTGGAGAGCCCAAAATTATGGACAATCCACGAAGATGGGCCAGGATTTTGGGGCCTCCTAAACGATCTTATAATTATCTCTTTTCCCCATTTCAACACACTTGAATCATATCTACTTTCGTGTTCCAGAACATAAGTTTGCAGTATGGGTTCTTACTTCCATGATATAATTTCAGGCATATAATTATTATGGAAAGGATCTGGAGATGGTATGTGCTGTCCTATGTGCTGGGCTTTACCCAAATGTCGTTCAGTGCAAAAGACGAGGCAAGAGGACAGCGTTTTACACCAAAGATGTTGGCAAAGTGGATATCCATCCATCATCAGTCAATGCGGGAATTCACCAATTCCCATTGCCTTATCTGGTTTATAGCGAGAAGGTTAAAACTGCTAGCATTTATGTCAGGGATTCCACAAACATTTCCGACTATGCTCTTCTCCTCTTTGGTGGTTCTCTCAGTGAGAGCAAAACTGGAGAAGGCATTGAGATGCTTGGGGGGTATCTTCATTTCTCTGCACCAAGGCGTATCATAGAGTTGATCCAGGTATCTCTAACTTCCCTACAAGATAACTTGTTTGAACTAAAGAAAAAAGGATTTCAGTTATTCTATTTCGTTTCTATTTTAAGGTTTATTTTTCGAACAGGAAAAGGTATTAAATTTCATGCTTGCTATTTGATCTACATTCCTTTGTTCACACTGAGCAATCATTTTGCTTGACTGATTTACGGTTTTAGTCCCTCAAATGCATTGCAGCGAATAGAACATCTTCATTTCTTCACATGTCTGCACAGAACTTGCTTTATTTTCTTGTTTGCACAAGCAAATCATAAGGATGTTAAAACAGTTTTGGAATCACTTTGTTGTAATAGATAGACCTATATGCCTTCTTCTCTAATTTAGGAATGTTTTTATTTGACAGAGATTAAGAGGTGAATTGGACAAACTCCTCCAGAGGAAGATCGAGGAGCCTGCACTTGACATATTTTCTGAAGGAAAAGGCGTTGTGGCGGCAGCAGTAGAACTGCTGCACAGCCAAAACGTTCACCACTAGATGCTATCTATACCGGTTCCATATAGCAGTTTTAGAACTAAAATAACAGCTATACCAGGGAGTGCTTTTGTATACTCCCTTCAATTTCGTTTGCTTGTTAGAGTTGACCCCTTATTTTTTGTGATTTTCCGGGAGCAAGTTGCTTTTTACATGGACAAACGGGATAAAATAGATAAATCAATATAAAAATTTAATACGGACAAAAACTTCGAAACATTTTTTTGATCTATTGCTGGGACTTTTAGAACAGTACTCATTTGCCAACGAAAATGGAAGAAGATCTCAGAAATTGAACCGGTCTGTTTCCTTTCACGATATGAACACAATGGAAGAAGATACCGAGTCCTCTTGTTGTTAATAGAGGCACAACAGATATTGAACTGATCTGTTGAATGACAAGCGCTTGCTTGATCGTATTATCCAGCACTTCTGTATTTTTAGAGAAGACCGAGTATCGTATGCAAGAACACAATAGTGAGAACTTGAATCAAATTGCAATTGCTAAAGCGGTTATTTTAGTCCTTGTGGTTTGAAAAGTAATACTCCGTGCAATTTTTGTTTCTTGGTACATGAAACAGAAGTTACATGGAGCAAACATCTATTCTGACATTCAGACTTGACCAAGACAATAGTATGTTTGTTTCTTCAAAAAAAAAAAGAAAGAAAAAAAAATGAGCAGCATGTTTTTCCATCAATCATATCTGTCGACTTGAAGCATCACACCTACTGCTTACCTATATGATACTAAATTTCTTGTCATTCTGTTATGATACTAAAAATAAAACAAATTGGCTCTATCGCAAAAAGAAGAAGAAGAAGAAGAAGAAGAAGAAGAAAAGAAATAGGAAAGAAAGACAAATCGGCCCACTTGACATTTCAGACAATATCTTTTCTGTTCAACACAATGAAATGCAATTTAACACTTCATGTGTTGTTTATTAACTTTATTCAATGATAGAAGTAGTAAAGGTGACATCGAACTGTATCTCTGCTTAAACAATTTATTCATGTATACATCATTACAAAGTATGTTTATTTCATCGACTATTGGGAGTAAAAAACATGCTCGATTCTATTCAATCCACAAGCAGAAGCAGATGATACATCATTTTTCCCACAACACCAGCCATCTCAAGATGTCTTGCGGGTCAGCCTAGACATCATATGATCAGATCTCTGCAAATATGAAAATTCTGTGCTTAGAACTGCTTGTCAAATTCAGATCAGCAAGAGAGGTAATAAGATGGAAGAATTCTAGTAAAAAGATAGAATGGGTATAATGATTAAATCTGTAACTCTGTAGCCTCATCCAACGCTTATCTGCTAATAATAATCAAGGATAGTACAATGGTGTGACGGATCACTTCCAAAGTTAAGTATAATGTAAAGCATATATTCAATTCCAAAATCTTCCATACAGACGGCAGATGATTCAACATATTCAATTATGCATCAATTCAAAAAAGTAAGATGATTATATCGAGAATAGGGAAGCAAGAAAACACTAACCTGCTCACTGTAAGGAAGATATTTCCCATCAAATGTGACCACCACGCGATCTTTTCCATCAGCACCTTGTACCTTGTCAACCGAACAGTAGAAGTCTATAGCTGACATGCTGCATTAGGAAGCAGTTAAACGGATTCTTTCACCTTTTTTTTTCAAAGGATATAAGCATGGCAGCCAAAATTAGATGGTCAGTAGTCTTGAAATACAAAGGCCTCTATATCAGCCTGAAGAGAAGAAAATATTTTACTTGACATCCTGATAAGAATATAGTGATCGGTTACCAGCTACCACTAATAAGAATATAGTGATTAATCTAGACTTAATGAACCTCCAGGGATTGTTCCCATAAAGGTACATGCTTTGCATTTTTTTTCAGAGAAAGGTGCATGCTTTACATCAGTGCTTACTGTATACAAATCCTTAACTTCGTCCATGTGCAGTTACCAGGAACAGGAAGTCAAGAAATACTGGGGTAAATGAAAATCAAATAGAATGAAGCATAGGCAGATATCTTACATTCCATCACCAAACTCCTCATTGATAATTTCCTTGATGCTCTCTCCAAAATGCATAACAGCTTCATTCAATCTGAGCGCAATATATAATTAAAAAAAATATCAACAAGAATCCTTTTCTAGAGTGTTGTAAAAGTGCATTACCACAATAATTTAAATCAACCGTGTACTAAACTTGTAATAATCTGGTAAATTTTCATAGAGACAACATCTTCCATTACAATAGCACATATATGTCGATAAAAGGCTCTTGCATGTTACAAAGCAAACAGAACTAATCATGTTCTTTAGCATATTCTCTTACAAGTTAACTATTTGGCTTCTTAATTTTAATGGAAAAATGAAATAAATATTCACTTTCTGACATAGAATCCCTAAGAATATAATTAGTCTTCGCCAACGCGATAGAATTAAGCAACATCGTGTCTATTTTTCTATGCCAAAGGTTCAAAATTTCAGAATCAAGAACAGCACAAAGAAATTACTTAATTTCGCCATCCTCACAACTCTAGCAAGCATGTATAATAAATAACGAAAAGATAAAGAGGGCTGCTACCCCACGGTATTCCGTTGCTCCTAGCAGTCACGGGATAACTAAAATCCCGAGAGATTTAATAAGCTTCATCAATTTTGTGGGGAGGCCCACGCTATCCTGCGATTCCACCATATCCAATCCTCCTTGGTATCTTGGGTAAGGTACCGAGGTGGTACCTGGTACATTGGTATCAGCTGGTACCCTGGTATCGACTATCGACTGATACCTGGTACACCCTAGTATCGACTGATACCTGGTACCCTGGGTATCGAGCTGATACCTATGTATCAGGCCTTGGTACCTAGGTATCAGGTCTTGGTACCTGGGTATCGACTGATACCTGGTACCCTGGGTATCGAGCTGATACCTAGGTATCAGGCCTTGGTATCTGGGTATCAGTGTGATATCCCAAGAGAGAGGAGGAGGAGGAGTCGTGGGTCAGGGAAGTCGAGCAGCGGGGCGACGGCGGAGGAAGAGGAAGAGGAGGCGATAGATCTGGTGCCTACCTTGTGCCATTCCGTCGCTCGTCGTCGTGCCTCGCTCCAAACCGCCAAACCCGTGGCTCCATTGACGCCGCCTAGAGCAGCTCCTCGTCGCTCATGTTGTGCCAAGTGCTCGCCCCCGGTGGCCGCGTCCATCGCTCCCCGACCGTAGGAGGCGCCAGCGCCGCCAAGGAGGAGGAGGGCGGCAGCGGCGAGGAAGCTACCGACAAGAACGACGAAGAGGAGGAGCGCCTTGAGGAGCTTGATGGGGAGGCTTCTTGACGGCGGCCGTCGCCCGTGGTGGTCGGGAGCTCCGCCGACTGTCGTCCAGGTCGTCCGCGGGGGCTGGTGGTGACGGCACCGTCGTCGTCGTTGCCGCCGCCGTCGTTGCCGCCGTCGTCGCCGTTGCCGTCGCCGTCGTCGCCGCCTCCGTGCTCATGGGTGGTATTCACAGAGAGAGGGATCGAATGGAGGGGAAGAGAGAGATAAGGGAGTAGTACTATTCCGTCTCCACGGAAAACCGTAGGATAGATTTTCTCAAAGATAAAATTCTAGAAGAACAATCAAAAGGAAAGCATCAACATGTATGGTTTGGAATCAGAGGCGAGACTCAATTGAGAAGCAGAGTACGGTACGGCCATGGGAGGGAGGGGAAGGAGGAGGCACCTGTAGATGGCGGGCTCGTGGACGATGTCCGGGTGGTAGGAGCGGAACGGCGGCTCCATCATGAGCGCGACGAGGTCGTCGGTGAGCCCCGGCACGGCCGCCCGCAGCGCCGGCGCCGTCTCCGGCTTCAGCTGCGCCTGCCGCCGCAGCAGCTGCGCCACGTACACGTTGGTCAGCCCCGCCTCCTCCCCGATCTCCGAGAAGCTCTTCCGCGACTCCGCCTTCGCCGCCATCAGCCGCCGCACCACCCCCGCCGCCCTCTCCCCGCCGCCGCCCTCCATATCCCTCTCCTCTCCTCTCCTCCCGCCGCCACGCGTCGCAGTCGAGGTGAGTGGGTCGAGGTCGTCGTCGGCGGCGGCGCGATGCACGGTGGCCTCAAAATCACAGCTTTTGTATGCTCATCTTCATCATCACCATCAAGGAGGGGGGGGGGGGGGGGGGCGCTCGCCTGACCGGTGGGGCCCACTTCGCTGACAGCTCTGTGGGCTGTGGGTCCCACGTGGTAATGGGCCGGAATTTTTTTCCTGGTTTGGGGGCCTGGTAAGGTTTTTGGGCTTGGGCTTGGGCCCTTTACGCGCTCAGCCAGGATGGGGAGAGAAGCTCAGATCGGCCGTTCACCTCGGGCCTTGGCTCAGGGAACCTTGGGCCTGGAGGTAATGTGGGCAAAGGGCAACCAAACACGGGCCTTGCAACCATGCGTGCAAGCCAACCATTATCACTGTATGTAGGTAATCAAAACACGTGCTTAATGCTTATATTACGTGGCAGAGGGTGGTTACCCCTCCTATGTGGTAATAATGACAGTAACCGCAGTAACCAGTTATCAAGTAAAACCGATAAAAAAACCAAATAAATTTTATCGGAATTTAAAATATTATTTAAATTCTTTTGAACTCGGTCGATACCGAGCGGTTTTCGTTACTGCACCCCAATGGTAAGTCCGGTTGCCCGTTGGACCGATGATAATGCAAACCCTGTCAGATATTTGCTAGCTAGTGCTTTTGTTATCTTTCCTTCTAAAAACCAGCTTTGATTTTTTTTTCTTTTCACCAGAAGAAAAGTTAACAAATTGTGGTCCTCCAAAAGGAATTAATGATTTTGAAGATAAAAAAAGGACGGTTGGGTCCAGTGTCTCATATATCCACCCTTCATGCCTGTAGCTCCACTACTGCAAGCAGAGATTGCACACATGCAATTTGCAGTACAGACTACAGTTACAGAGACGCTCAAATTCCAGCCCAATTTATGCCAACTTTCCAGCAGCAAATGCATCCGAACGCCCAATCTATGCAACCTCTGACAGAATGAGATCTGAAAATTAAAGGAGACATATAACAATGCATGGTTTTATCTGATCTCTTGCTTTTGCTGGCCACCACACTGAATAATGCAGATATCAGTCAGGAATGGACAGGCAATCGTAAGGTTAATTAATCTCTGCATTGATCAAGCCTACATTTAATTCTGAAGTACTGGCTCTCGATCGATTAATTGATCACCATTTAGTTTAGGCCCTGTTTAATTCCCACCCAAAAATTTTTCCCCGTCACATCGAACGTTTAAACACCTGTATGTATGAAGTATTAAATATAGGCTAAAAAAACTAATTGGACAGATTGCGACTAATTTGCGAAACGAATCTTTTAAGCCTAATTGTTCCATGATTTGATAATGTGGTGCTACAGTAAATATTTACTAATAACATATTATTAGGCTTAATAAATTCGTCTCGCGGTTTACTGACGGATACTGTAATTAGTTTTTTTATTAGTGTCCAAACACCATATGCGACATCATATATAATATTGACACGCCAAAACTTTACATCCCTGATCTAAACACCCCCTTAGTAGCTAGCTTGGTCCCTCCCCTGCGTATCAAAATCCAGAACAAGTAGCATAACTGAACTATAAATGAACTGGACCTAACTAGGGTACGTTGATGTGCTTCATCTCCGATCAAATGGGCTGGAGATACTGCATTTCTGTTCATGGAGAGTACATTTGTACATATATACAGTACACTGATATTTAATTGAGCTTTTTCTTACCAGCCAGCAGCCATGTGCTCGTTGGTTGCGACTTTGCAATCGTTTACGTCGTCCTCTGTCGTCGTGCACTGTGTGAATGGAGCAACTGTTGTCTGTACTACTCCAGTTGTCATGATATTCATGCGTTCCATACGAGGCGAGCGTATGAAATTTAATGGATTTTCACAGAAACTAGGACAATATAACATCACTGTTATGTCACATAAGTCGAGCCAGCCATTATGAGTGCCGTTCTAAAATATACTAACTCCGTCCCAAAATAAATGCAACTGTGAAAATCCGTGTCCAATGTTTGACCATCCATCTTATTTGAAAAATTTATAAATTTGTTTTTAAAAAAATTAGTCACACATAAAGTATTATTCATATTTTATCATCTAATAACAATAAAAATAATAATCATAAAAAATTTTCAAATAAGACGAACGGTCAAACGTTAGAGATGAATAGTGCAAAACTTATTTTGCGACAGAGGGAGTAAATACGTTTTAAATACTTCTATTTATATTAAGTACTCCCATCATCTAAATCTGGACATTTTCTAGTACTACTTCAGCATTGTTTTACTTCAAAGGATCTATTTGTAAAGTATATATATGTTGGTATAAATTTTAGATGTTACGAATGTTTATATTTTAAAGTGGATGGAGTAGAACTGATCTATCTCACCCTGATCCAATGCTACTACACTGGAGAACTGTAAGCGAAGTCAAAATCTCTTTAGAGAGCTCTTCTGTATTGCTTCACAGTACTCGATCTGTTAAGCTAGTTAGAAACACGAAGAGGTTTTTAGCTAGCTTCATAAGGTGGTGGGCTAGTCGGCTTGAGTTTAAAACCTCACCTATTTTATTTATTTGATATTAGATATTTCTCTAATATTTGTGTTTTTCTTCTGATAAAAGAGTTTAAATTTATTTTTAGGATTTAATTATTTTTGGGATAAAGGAAGTACTAATTCACAACCTGGAAACTAAGATGCAGCTAGCAACCAACTCAAAAGCAAGCAGCAAAGTTTTTTCGAGGGGATTTTTTTTTTCGAGGGGAAAAAAGCAAGCAGCAAAGTAGCTTTCCCTTCCCTCCCTTCCTTGGCCTCTTCCCAACAGTGCAATACTGCACTGATTCTCGTCTCATCAGATCAGTTGGAATCAACAGTGTTATGTCTTGTCGGATTCAGATATTCAGACATCACAGACACAGCCTGATAATTCAGCAGTACTAGACGACGTGTAGAAAGGTGATAAATTTCCTTTTCGCATCAAAAAATCAGCGAATATTTAGGTGGTGTTTGAATCTCCTCAAGATTTGAAGATAAATATTAATTGTTTTACGCAAAACGAGGTGATAATAACGTGTGATTAATTGAGTTTTAATTATTACAAACTTGAAAAATGGATTAATCTGATATTTTAGAACAACTTTTACATAGAAAGTTTTCGTACGAAATATACCGTTTAGCAGTTTGAAAAACGTATCATTTTAATCCAAAAGTTTATCCTCTAAAATTAGGCTGCTTTTTATGTGCACTTTTCCTTCTGATTCCTAGTTTTTTCATATCCACGCTTACTGAGCTGCTAAACGGTGTTCTTTTCAAAAAAAAACTATAGAAAAATTATTTTAAAAAATTATATTAATCTATTTTTAAGTTTTTTTATAATAGTTCCATCCAAAAATCATAAGGATATTTTATTTTTTTATTTTTTTTCAAATGAGATAGTCATATTTATAGTTTTCATGCATCCAGCACTTCAATGAAGATGTGTATTTTTGTTTTTGCAGTGCTAAATTTAAATTGTTGACCAGAACCTAAACAACTATTAAACTCATTGGTTTCTTTGTTATATATAGGATGAGTTATTTATTTTTTTCTTAATCTTGATGAAAAAATACACCCTAAACTCTTTTAGATAGATGGAGTACTTAATTAATTATACGCGATATTCCGTCGCTATATTTTAGGTGCCGGAGATAAAAGAGTTCTCAACCTCCCCGAAAGAACACGGGCTACGAATCATCAAAAACATTAATCGCCACTCTCTATTGAAGGTGTCTAGACGGCGGCTTTCAGAATCTCTTCTCCTTAACTTTTTCATGATGCTAGCGGCTAGCTTGATGGGTCACTATAGCTCACTTGTTAGTCTCCTTTCTGTCTAGTTTTAAGGCGCTGATGGATGATGGATGGAAGTTAGTTTATGACAATTACTTTAAATATTAGAAAGCTAAAAGGTCGATTTAATTAAGTTTCTTTAAGAAGTACTCCCTGGTTCTATATTAATTGATATTTTGGACAAAGTTAAGGTCAAACTTTTATAACTTTGACCATCAATAACTTTAAAAATATTTAGTTTAAAGGAACTAGAACAACATATATAGATTTGTCTTTTAAAGCACTATAATAAAAGTAAACATGCATTTATTTATTATATATATTATAATAGAAAAATAAGGTCAAAGATATATCTTGTAGACCGTGTTATTATCCAAAACGTCAATTAAAATGAAACCGGAGGAAGTACTAAGGAAGAAATTAGTTTTTTCTTTTATAAAATTCGTACACTTCGTAAGGCTGAAAAGCATGCCCTGAAATCGCTCTTGCAGACACAACACAATGTTTTTCATCTTCTCTCGACAGGTAAAGAATGCGATGGTAATGTGGACAGTTGGAAGCATTTCAAGTTTGCAACTGCACTGAAAGGAGTAATACTCAAAGAAATGCATAGCAATATTCACAAGTACACATGCAAATTAAAAATGATGATGATAGTATGATACATCAGTGTTAATAAGAATTTAGTAAGAAAAAGTTAGTATGTATAGCCTTTTTTTTATTTTGCATGTTAGCTTTAATCGTGCTACAACTAGCAATCATCTTTTTTACCTCCTTACTCAATTAATTAATTATTCTATCCGTTCTAAAATTTAAGAAATTTTGCTTATAATTTGGGACCGATGTGCAAGTAATTAATGATCACAGTAGTCCTTTCGCAGTTGGTTAAAAATAAAACTTGCAATAACCCCTTTCAAGAATCCCCCAACCGTCAACAGAATTATTTGTTAACTAATCACCGACAACACATTTGGGTGGTCACCATAGGTTCAAATTGGTCTTTCTCTTCGGAATAAAATTCATTAAAATTACCACTTTGCAGTACATATCGCGCTCCATTCATATATATTGGTGCAATCTTCTTTTCCAAACTTGAAGCCGTTGGTAAGGAAAATATTTTTTTTGCAGGAAATTAAAAGTACTTATTTTTAAAAACCTAAGCCAGCCGAACTGGTTTTGTATCTAGAGAGGTAAGCACTGTACAGGAGTCACCAAAGGTGACAGGAGAAGAACAGGGGGAGGTCAGTAGAAAGGAAAAAAGGAA